TTGACGTAAGCTTAAAAGCGTTTAACTAGAAATAGTATTTCGAAAGTTATTAAGCACAAAAGATGAATTGCGTTTATTTTGATACACCCTGTAGACTATAGTTATATGTGATGCAATTTTACGCCTTGTGATTATATCTAAAATTTACTAAAAATTTTCCTTATGATCGATTTTGTTCGAGGGACAGTGAAAGAACTAAGTCTTTTATAGACCAAACAATAGTCTGTCAAGATATGATCATTATGATGGTCTGGAAGCCTGCAAACTTCAAAGCTACAAAATAGAAGACCTAGTGTTTGATGTTGAACTGTATCTTCATAGATTTGGTTAAACAGTCTTTTCATGTAGCAAGAATATTTGAAATTTAAAATGTTCTTGGCTTTATTTCGGTGTTGTGTAAGTTGTCTGTACAAATGGAGGCCGGGTGTGCTCATCGACCCATATATGGTTCAGTGTACGACTGTTGACCAAGTCAGTAATCATTTGTAGCTACACACAGCAGCGAGGGGTAGTATTGTGGTAATGGGGACAGGATATTGCCTTTCCAAATTGAAAAAAAAAATATTTGATGAAATATCCCCCCACCTTACACCCCCTTTGCCAATGTTAAGGGGGGTGCATCCCCATGGCATAAATACATCCAGCATGATCTGGTAGGAGGGGTGCTCTGCCAGCTCTGGTGCCGAGTTGTGTCGGTCATGTGTGCCACCCGCCCATCAACTTGCTTCACTACTGCAAAGTCCTGCTTGACTACTGTATTTAAATTGTAATTTAACTTATCATCATGTTATTACTCAAATTACTGTATGTCATTTTGTCTCTAATAATTGTTTTGCTTTATCATGAAAAATAGCACCCCCCCCCCTGCACCCCCTCTGGCCATAATCATACACTCAGAGTAACATCACACAAACATCTTATTCACCTGAGTACATTACACCAACACAGCAGATTTCATAAATATTAGATTACACTGATATCGAAGGAACTAGACTCAGTTCCGAAATATCGCTTACTCGAACCGTCCTGAC